TATATATGTGTGTGTGTATATATGGAAGTGTCATTAAAAAGTCAAATTTCTCATCCTTGGCAAACATTTTCACTTTTTACACTCCCCCACACATGTGATAGATAATGCAAATACATTTAGCAAATGTTCCTGAGTTCAGCGCCGGTTGGGCATGTGGGAATATAGTTGGCTTCGCTGCCAGTGACAACATTATTCCTAAACCAGTAGAAAAGTGCATTCCGGATATTTACAAACCTCTGGCAGGCGATACGAATTGACGAGCATTAGGCACTGGGTAACTAATTCTCTTTGACTCAACTGAGCAGCAGGACCTTCTGGAGCTCATTCCACTTAAGGGGGCAGATGTATTGGATAAATGCTTTAATCAGTTGCTGTTTGCCCAGTTTCTTCCAGTGATCTGATCTGCCTTTCTTACATCAAGATATACACTGGTACTGCTAGACCTTTTAATACTTATTTTTGGTGTATGCTTGTTTAAATAATGTATAACATAAAATGTCATCTCTCAACTTGGCAGACCAGAGATTCATGCATGCATGGTCCTAACAATCCATTTTCATGCCTGTATGTCCTTCAGACATTTTAAAAATGAAGGGTTCCTCTTTTCAAAACACCTGATGCTCAGGGGCACTAGGCTTTTCTGCACCTTTGATGTTGTGCAAATTTGGGGTTAACTTACTGCCCCACCATGGGAGCCATTGAACAGTTACCTATTCAGCCCAGTGCATACAGAATAGAATTGACTTTTAAAGATCCATCCACTTGACCCAGCTTGAGTTGTGACAGTACAGCTACATATGTATTCCCCTCAAGTTGAACCTCTAGATTGCATTTGCAGATTTGACCATATCTATGTAGTCATTGTATACTGCATTCTATTCTATCTTTTCCAGTTGCATATTCAATGCCCTTGGGAACCATTCTTACCCAATACAGCTAATAAGGTTGATCTACTTTGCTTTAGCTTTAAATGTATGGCAACTTAAACGAGAAGTATTGGAAGAGTAAAATGTACTCTTCCCAATACTTTGGGCCGGAGAGTGGTACTGCAGGTGTCACATGCAGGCACTATAGATCGAGAGCTGAGTGATCACCAACCACTGATCACTCAGCTTACAGTCTCCTCCCTGCAGAAAGTAGTGACTGTCAGTCACTGCTCTGGACAGGGATTCACCCCTCACCTCTATGTTCCTCCAGTGCTCATTAGAGGGACAGACAGGGGATGGGGTGGGCACAGCTGGTTCTGGCTCTACAGAGGCAGAGCCAGCTGTCAATCAGGCAGTGGGGTGGATCCCAACAATATTGTCGGGATCTTTCCCAACTGCAGTGTGTCTCTGCAATGTCAGCATATACAGTAGTGGACAGTAGCCCACTATATGCTGAGTTTGGGTTACAGGAGTGCAGTAGTTAATGTACTCCTTTGATTCAAAAGAGGACCTAAAGCCCAAAAAAAAAGTTTTGGCCGTAGTTCTCTTTTAAGGAGATAATTTTGGGAGTCTTTTAATGTAGTAATAGTGGCTGCTGAACAATAAAAACAAATATATTCATCTACTTCAGCCAATCAAAGCAAAACCTGACAATTGCACAGCAATCAAAACAGAATCTGTTGAGTTGCATTCATGAACAGGCAGGTTTAATTGCTCACAGGAAAACATGGACTGTTTCTAGACATGTGCGATTCGTTTCGTTACGAATCGAAATTCGTACGAATTTTCCTGAAATTCGTAGATTCGTAAGCATACGAAATCCGAATTGCAGTTTCCGAATTATATCCGAAATACGAAATTCCGTTAACGAATTTCGGATCCGAATTTCTTTGAAACAGGAACTAATATTACCCCTGTAAATGAGGTTGAACAACATGACAAGATTTTTTTTGTAATCCGAAATACGGATCCGCTGCTGCTGAGGGTTGCATTACAATACACAGGCAGGAAATACGAAATTCCGTTGACGTATTTTCGTTCCGAACATTGGTTATATATTGAAGTTAAAAAGCAAAGTACATTTATATTGGAGTTGATGGTAGTTTTTTTTTAAGTCCGAAATACGAAATTCGGATACGGATTCCGTTAACGGAATTCGTATTTCGTTTTGGTTGACCAATCAGAGGTTCTCTTCTGCTGCTGAGAGTTGCATTACAATACAGGCAGGAAATACGAAATTCCGTTGACGTATTTTCGTTCCGTTACGAACATTCGTTATATATTGAAGTTAAAAAGCAGAGTACATTTATATTGGAGTTGATGGTAGTTTTTTTTTAAGTCCAAAATACGAAATTCGGATACGGAATCCGTTAACGGAATTCGTATTTCGGATACAAAAACAACTACCACATCGGCTCCAATATTAACCAAGGTATTTTTGCTTTTTAACTTCATCATAACGAATGTTCGTGAAGTTACGAAAATGTGCCGAAACTAACGAAAATCCGTATTTCGTACGAATCCGAATTGAGTTTCGGATACGAATTACGAAATACGAAATAATGGATATTACGAAACGCAACAAATTTTTTGACGGCGCACAAGTCTAACTGTTTCCTCTGTTATAGTTGGATTTTAGCCATCTACTTGCACTTAATATCTAAATGTTTACATAAAGGATAATTATTAGTTATATGAGCTTACATGTACGACTTTATTGACAAAGTCACACTTCCTGGCACTTGCAGACTTGCGTAGTGTCAGTGCAGAGGACATTAGTAGAACCCAGGGCAACTAATAATAATGCCACTTTGAGCAAATTAATGAGAATATGTCATAAAAACTGATAGAATATAACAGTATAAAGAGAATACAGTATGTCATAAAAAAGTAAAATGTGCAGGAACCTAGAGGTTCCTGCACATACCTGCAGCAGCCTCTCATACCCTACTTTTATGCCCACATTCTGGGCCATCATGACAGGCAAAGCTTTGGCATTCCTAATAGAGTCAAAGTTCACCCACCACCTCCTACTGCACATTCTTATTGGACAATGTTGATATCAGCAAGGTCTGACACTACCTGTCAGAACGAGCTTTGACCCCCCCAGGTGAAAAACTTTTCATTCTTTTGAAAGGTCAAAGTTGCCCCTTGACACACAACTTGGGGTGGTCATTCCTACATGCAACATCCCTACACCCTCAGTTCAAGCTCTCAGTAAAGTTCTGCAGAGATGCTCCATTAATGTTTGGGACAAACTCTTAAGATTGATAGATGTCAGGGACCTACCATAGACGGTAGATTGTCTCCTAATCCAGAGTAAAAATGGCTGGATCGGGGGAATACCATTTGCCCATGAATACCTGAGAAGACTGAGCGAAGCCAATGGGCCTCAGAACCCTAGAAAAAATCCCTGCGCTTAGTAAGGGGGAGGCATATTTGTTCATTGAGCAGGCAGACTGTACCAACCAGCTATCTTATTGACTGTAATTTGCTGCTAAGTTGGAGTGATAATATGGAAGGTGGCCTTTGGGGATGGGCCCACCATTTCCTGCCCTGCCAGGCCTGTGCTTGGATGAAGGGTCTGGTTGAAAATTTTAGGGAAACCCCTCGTCCCCCCCCATTTTTGGGGGTGGGGTTCCTCCTTAAAATTCTTACCAGACCTTAAGGACCTGGTATGACTTTTTGGGGGAACCCTACACATTTTTGTTTTTTAAATGGGGTCCCTCCTAACATTCCTACCAGATCTAGAGAATGTGGTATTGTTTGGGAGGGGGAACCACACACTTTCTTTTTTTTTTTTTTTCCTTTTTATATGTAATTTTTTTCTTTAGAAATGTAATTTTTGCTGCAGCAGGTTCTATACATTGCACAGATGGCACAGATACTGGCAGGGTTAGGGGACCCCCAGGCACAATATTTAAAGGAATTTTTCATTTTTATTGTTTCACTTTAAGTGATGTAAAAATCACTGCTCCTTTAAGAACGATATTTAAAAAAAAAATTGATTCATGTCTCCCAGGGCAGTACCCGAATCCCCATACACTTTTAATGGCCGCTAAATTGCATATAAGGCTTCAATATAGGGGCATTTGATTTTTAAAGTTCTACCCCCATAGACGTGCATTGAGTTTGATTTCAAACTTTTGCCATGTTCTAAAGTCCAAATTCGAACCGAACAGGGTGTGTTCGGCTCATCACTTCCTCATCTGTTCCTACAGATGTCTTCCAGTCCATTGTTGTAAGAGATACATCTGCCTACCTATGCAACTTTTTACTCATACCTGACAATCATTGTGACAGTTATTACCTCCTGATGATTCTTCTTGAGATATGACAGTTCTTCTGCTAGGGCTTCAATCTGTAATTCCAGATCAGATCTAGATAGGGTCAGTTCATCCAGAACTCTACGCAGTCCATTGATATCAGCCTCCACACTTTGGCGCATAGATAATTCATTTTCATATCTGTGGAAACATCACAGCTATGGGTATCATGGGCTCTTACCTAACCCCATCTTGTCCAGGGCTAACCATAACATAGTTAAACACTTTGCAATATCTTAATAGCTCACTTCAGTCTGAAGTCATCAGCTGCCAGTCTGGCATTGTCAATCTGCAAAATGAGCTTGGAGTTTTCAATAGTTGCAGCAAGTATCTGAAATACAAGAAATTGTGAACAACTGGTGTGAATTACAGTATATTACCAGTAAAAATAAGAAAACATGTAAAACATAAGTATTTGCTGGATGAGGTACAAGCTTGGGTCGGGCAAAACCAAGACTGCAGACAGTCATATCCAAGTCAAGCCTTAATCCTTTAGGACATTGAAATTATATGAGGCCATGACCAATAAAATAAACCCAAGACCACGACTAAATCCATATCAGAAACTGGCATATCAAGACATCTACAACATTTTGGAAATAACCTAACCATTTGAAAAAAATGTTTTGCTGTGGTGTCTTGCTAATTAATATGATTAGTGTGGTGTAGTGTAGTGTCTATCCATACTTTCTATCTTCCACCTTGACTGCCTTTAGGCATTCCCTAAAGACTCATCTCTTCAGGGAAGCCTATCCCACCTCAACCTAAACACTGAACCATCACGTTCTAAAACAATTCATTCCCTCACAGCTACCTCCTCATGTATCACTTCTCCCTCCCTTTTAGATTGTAAGCCGTCATGGGCAGGGCCCTCTTTACCATCTTGTCTTGAATTGTATTGTGATTGTAATGTCTTCCTTATATTGTAAAGCGCTGCGCAAACTGTTGGCGCTATATAAATCCTGTATTATAATAATAATACTTTAAGTTGACTCCGTCTGTAATGCAATGAACATTTTATTGATGTTTAAAGGTGTTCATAATTGCTTTAAACAAATTGGTTTTTATGTTTTTAAACTGATGTTTCATATCTGTGTTTTTTAATTATTTATATCAAAAACATTTTTACAAATAAATATTGAATACAGGGTTCACCTTTGATATAGGATAGACAAGGCGGTATGTGTTTTCTTTTTCACTTTTTTTATTGATTACTACAGGCAAAATTACTACTACAAACTAATATCAATGCAGGTACCACATAGACACTTTGCAGAGTTTCAGATTGTTTCAGATTGATTTCGGATGGATCGGACATAAGCTGGTCATACACCTTACAATTATCTGCAGATTTTCTGTGGTCAGATGGAAAAAGTGCAACAGATTGGCCCAGGTGGAGATTACTTCATCCACACAGCTAAGTGTAGATGGAGGAATCTGTTGCACCTTTTCCATCTGACCACAGAAAATCTGCAGATAATTGTAAGGTGTATGGCCAGCTATAGACAGACAGACTCTTTGCAGAGTTTCATTGGAGAGCTGAGGGCTATTCGGCTTGGGAACCTGGCCCTGGAAATAGTTTTGTTTTTACAGTAGGTGACCATAGAACTAAATACTTATCTATGGGGAACCTCCTGTATCCCTCAGCATAACCATCTAGGTTCAAATCTATAAAGCCATCGGCTGTTCAATTTCAGATTGATTTCGGATTGATCGGACATAGACAGACAGACTCTTTGCAGTTTCATTGCAGAGCTGAGGGCTATTCGGCTTGGGAACCTGGCCCTGGAATTAGTTTTTTTTTTATGGTAGGTGACCATAGAACTGAATACTTATCTATGGGGAATCTCCTCTATCCCTCAGCGTAACCTTCTAAGTTCAGATCTTTAAAGCCATTGGCTGTTCAATTTCGGATTCACTGGCCCCCCATGCCAAATGGAAAGAGTTTAACTTTTTAAAGATGATTTCCAGACACCAATTTTGGAAGCTGTTTTACTTTTCAAAGGATATGTAGTTTTCCCCAAACAATACTGATATCTGCATTACTCTGTAAGACAGCAGAGTCAGGTTGGTGACTCCACTAAGCTCTGCTGGCAATTAAGCAATACACCTTGATCCCCTATTTGCCCCCAGCCTGTGTGTGCACAGTCAAGGGGTACCAGAATACTGAAAAATAATTCCATTGCAATCTCCTTTTGTTAGCATGTTTATTGTCAGCATGCATTAATGTAGCAGCCAGAGTGTTGCCCCTCCCTCTCCTATTCTGCTATACATGAGAATAAATGAAGCATTCTATTCAGACACTTACAGCATTCTATTCAGAAAATTACAGCAAGCAGCAATTAAGAATACATTTCATGATTATTTAATTAATATATTACTGTATCAAATGGTGTATTTTTATACATGCCTGGAAATCAGTTTTACATTTACAATTTACATTTAAAGTTTTTTTTTTAATTAAAGTTTGCGGAGAAAGCAAATACGCCACAAATTATTTCATATCTAACCAATAAGGTATTTTATATTGTAAATTACTCTTATTTATTATTACTGATATTTATACAGCGCCGACAATTTACGCGGCACTTTACATAGTTGCACATTCACATCAGTCCCTTCCGTCAAGGAGCTTACAGTCTAAGGTTTGATAAATTTACAGTGTAAAAGTTATAGGGACATTATATGTGTATATACCTATACTGTATGTTCTGGTATGAAGCTCTATCTATGGTTCACCAGGTTAAAAGGTTGGAGGAAGTCCAGGTTCTGACATTCTAAATCAGCTTTAAATTTGCATTATTTGATTTTCTTCTTCAGTTCTTGCTTTTTCAACACTGAGGCAAGTAAAAAACTTCTTCATTTAGATTAAAAATATATGAGGCGTTTTGCTTTCTAACCACAGTTACATATTAATACTGTGAGAGAGTTTTGGGTTTGTCAAAGGCTACCCTTCCGGTTATGCACACTTGGGCAGTAGCTGTATGGGCCAAGAATTGTCAAAAAAAAATAAAAACAATTACATAAGTATGTTCTAAGTGCAATTTAAGTTAAGCTGCAAATGTCAGTAATTGTTATCTCCCACCAAATGTTCTCAATTGAAAATGATTGCATAGAATGAGGTAACCATATAACACAGTTTTACACATAATTGTTTCATACAATTATATAAAATGGGTAGGCATCAATTTATCCTACCTTACTCCGGAGATCATCAATAATATCAAAATATTTGCTGTAGTCTGTTGCTCCAGCACCAGTAGAGGAACCTGGACGTTGCTTTTCATACCATTCTCTTATTTTGCGCTCATATTCAGCGTTATCCTCCTCTAAGGTCTTGACTTTGTCCAAGTAAGTAGCTAAACGGTCATTAAGATTCTGCATTGTCTGTTTTTCATTGGTTGAAAGAAGACCTGAACCTGCACCAAATCCTCCTCCACCAAATCCTCCTCCACCTGCTCCACCATATCCTCCACCATATCCCCCACCAGCTGATCCACCATATCCCCCACCAGCTGATCCACCATATCCCCCACCAGCTGATCCACCATATGCCCCACCAGCTGATCCACCATATCCCCCACCAAATCCTCCACCACCTCCACCACCAGCCCCTCCACCAGCCCCTGCACGGAATCCTCCACTACTAAACCTGACCTGCTGGCCTCCTCCAAAGCCAGTACTTGATTCTCCACCTCCAAAGCCACCATCAAAACATTCACCAAAACCTTCACCATTCATCACTAATCCTCCTCCACCATATGCCCCTCCTGAACTACTCTGCGACGTATAGAATGCCATTGTAAGTGAGGTGCTAAGCTAGAGCTGGAGAGATGTTACCGTTAAATGAAGCAGACAGCAGTACCAACAGCCCTTATATATAAAGTTCAAATGGGTGTAACTCCTTGTGTTCCTTTACTGGAAGAGATTATTGTATACGTTCGGCATTTTGGTGGCTAGCTGGGTAATTTATTCTTCTTCAATATGTTCCGATCTGCTTAAATATTTTAGCTCAAGGCTATATTTATTAAATTAAAGGTGAATTTGGGTGGAGTGGCAATAAACTGTCATTATATTATCTTTAAGCTGATGAAGCCTATCTAGACCTGCCTAAACAAATTATTTATGCTTTGTATTATCATGTTTTTGCTGGAAGCAGCGATATGTTTGCCAACTGATAGATAGGCAGGCTCCAGGTTGTGGTTTCTCTTCTACTCACTAAGGTTACATTTTGTTATGTGCCAGAGGACAGGGATGGATTAGTAGAAGGTGGGTGAGTTAGAACTTAGGTACTTTACAAACAATATTCGTTGAATTTTATAGCAAAATATTGCTTTAATAATGCATTTAAAGTATACTTCTCACTTTAAATATGAACCAAGCTGACAAAAGGAAAAAGAAAACACACAAATGCTGTGCATATTTTCAGATGTTTCAATGAGTGCACAAGGTTTTCCAAATATGGTGGTCTAGTAGGTAAATTCTAACGCTCATTAACACTTCTTAGTCTAAAACTGAGATGACCAAGCCCCAACCATCACTTCCTGTTAGCTTATTGCTGTGATGGTCCATCTTACTGGCTAAAAGGGAATTACATGAAGACATGAGACCAGCTCAGAACTTATTAGAACACTCAAAGATTCAGAGTACCCAGGGCGCTCTCTGAATACATACTGTATATAAAGGGACAACCTATAGGACAATAAACAGGGGCTGCTATTGCCTTACCTAGTGTAATTGCTAGCTCTCTTGCTCCCTTTTATGTATGTATATACCTACCTGCCTTCCTAGCCCCAGTTGCAACAATCAACAGAACATCAAGGTGACCACAAGCTGGATGTAAACCTGGTACCAACATTAGCACTGGTAAGACCATTCCAGTGTGGACTTTATATGGCACAAACACTTAATGGACACATTGTCCAGGGCAAGCCCCACCCTGACTTATAGGGATATCTCAATTTTTACAGGGTTATTCACAAAAGGATGAAGAGTTTGGAGAAGGCAGGAGAAGTGAACAATCTAGGATAACATAGCTGAACTGAAAAGTGAGCTGAACTGGAGAATTTTTCCAAATCAGCTATGTTGTTCCAGATTGTTCACTTCTCCTGTCTTCTCCAAACTCTTCACCCTTTTGTGAATAACCCTGCTAGTGTTTTGAACATATTCAACATGACAAGGTTATGAAAATCAGCTATGAGAACATGTACATTTTAACACATCTAATAAAGGCTGATCAGTGATCGTATATATATCCTGACATTTCCCATGTCAGCAACCAGAGAGCTACACTCTACAATTTGCACAAGTGAAACAAGTATGAGCTATATAGGAATAAACTATGACTGACTCATTCGTTCTCACAAATGCACAAAAGCTTTGAATACTATAGTAGATATGGTTTAACTGAGGGAGTTACAGCTATAAGACCATACCTCCTGGAGGGTGCATGTTATCTGATACCAGTGCCAATTTTCCTTTAAGGGACACAGCCAGGGGTTGTAAGACCTCACCACTCTATCCTCATACTTAAAAAGGGGGCCTTTATATACAAACCCTTTCATTTTCCCAAAGCACGTCATGTTTATTAGAATCACCAGTAGTGGATTATTTGTAACTTGGGCCCATGGTTGTTTCCAGGTCATGGCCCCCCACTAGTTTAATGGGATTATGCAAAAAGGTCATTGTAAACTGGAAGGTCCTGGTTCGAGGCACAGGGAGTGTGCCTCTACATTGTGTATGAATATTTAATTGTCTTCAAGGAAACCTTTACTGAGATAAGTATAAAAGCTTCCTTTGCTGACCTTCTGAAGACTTGCAAAGCTGAAATGACTTTAGCTGAGTGACTGTAAAGGGGGCCTAAGCTTATAAAGTGAAGATTTGCTCTCTTATAGGGAACACAAAGTACCATACAATGTTATATGTTGTCTTGAATTCCTCCTGAAAACTTCCTGGTATCTGAGGATACGTAGGTACCCCATGTACAATCCCATAGTTGTGTATCTGCAGTGTGAGATCTAAGGTACTATTGCCATTGACTGAAATTCTCTGTTTGCCATTGTCTGTTAGTAAAAGTGTAGAGATCAGCAGCAGGAGACCTCAGGCAATGCTGGTGACTAGTCCTTTGTCCTCTGCCTGACTTTTTTGAGTACAACTTACAGAGTTTAGTGCTTGTTTAAGCAGCACTTTACATACCCCAAGGCCCTGCCGGAGTCTGGGGCCCCAGGCAGCTGCTTACTCTTTTTATAATCAATCAGTAATTTGTAACATCACGCAGTCCAGATTTCCCTGTAAGCATACCAGTTATTCCCATAAGACATTGAAAAGTACTTTACAGAAAAAGAAGAGCTACAATTTAAATGAGATGTGTTTCCAATGCTATACCAAGAGGCAATAGTACTATTTTCATTATTTAATCTGAAAATATTATACTTGAGGTGCTGTTTTACTTTTGAATGTTAATGAGTTACGTACAACCTGAGGTATGGGTGTTTACATTACACAATCGTAGCAAGATCAGACAGCTTAAAGTTACTTGCCAAATACCTTTTTGGACACAACATTGATTTTGGCATGCTTTTAGTTGCTTCAGAGGAAGATCTGAGGAGGGGTAGGCAATCTCAATAAGTCTCAGGAGGCATTGCAAGAGGAGGGCTGAGGCTGCCTACCCCTGCTCTCGGGTCTGATACAGAATATCTCTAGCAACTGGGAAGTTAATAACATTCTTGTCAATATTTACTTCAAACCAAATATCACCATGAACATCACTTAGAATTAATCTGTGCATTTAGCTGCAAGAACAAAAATATAGTGCAGATTTTCTTGTATTTCTAGACAGAACAGCAAAATAGGCACTTCTGAGATTGAGAGCAATGGCGAATGAGAGGCATGCAGAGAGAGGCATCACTTCTCGGCCTTTTGGCTAAGATCAAGTGTAGTATCTGTTCTTATCAGTTTTCGGGGAAGAAAGGCATCGATCCACCGCTACGGAGAGATGCTCAGTATTCCCTGATGTGATTGGTGGGTACTGGAGGGGCCTCCTTTCCTCCTGGGTTGATTCTGGCAGGTAGCTTCACACGGTTGCCTCTGGTCACATCACCATCCACCGGCCACAGTCAGCCAAGATTGATGCGTTTCAGGGGCAAGCCCATTTCATCAGAATCATCATGACGGTGGATGGTGATGTGACCGGAGGCAACCATGGTACATAGTCGGGGCGATACCATGCTGGGTTAACAGACAGTGTGGCCTCTTGTTTGTTGTTAAAGCGTGATGAAAACGTTTGCTTGTGAGTACATATGTCCCTTGTTTTATTTATTTTAATAAACAATTTGACACACGGAGGTGGCGCTCTGTTCCTTTTTGTTTTCTATGATACCTTTGGTTACTGACCTTGACTTGATCTCTGCTTCTATACTACTACCGTCTGCTTGTGTACCGAACCCGGCCTGTTATACCACAAATTTGCCTCATGTTTCAACTACTGGACTCCGAGTCTGATCCCAGATGGTGACAATTGGATTCCTTTTCTATATATGTTCTAAGATGGAGGCTCTCGTAGATTAGGACCACACTACACAGGGGGACCTTGATGAGGCAGTGGGGCTTCCAAACAGTTTGCAAAAGTTGTGCAGCTAAAACATCAGGTCCAGGTCCATCCTGGCTTTTCTGGCACCTCCAGCAGATAAAGTCCCTCCCTGGTTCTCCATCCCAAGAACAGATTCAGACCCCATACCTGGGTCCATACCTTACCACCTGCAAGTCTGGTCAGACAACACATCACTTTATGCAGCCTCCACTAGGGAGGAGGCAGGAGGAAGACACTAACAGGGTCAACCCTGAATATTTATATCCCCCCCCCCCCCGAGCCTGCACCACTGGGCATGAACCTCCTAGTAATTGGTTAGAGAGACATACACATATTAATTATTGGATGCTCTGCTCTGTCGTAAGGTCATACCCAGCAGCAGGCAGATGCAAACTATAACAAAATTATTAGAAGAAACCAAATGAGCACAGACTATCAAATTAACTAGACTGGATATAGTCCAGCAGAACTAAATGTAAGGAATCACCCTGCTTAGGGAAAGGTGGTTACACATGTTTCAACTCTGACCTCTAACCAGAAAATACATCACTATTCAGGGAGGATGCAGGCTTTATTCAAATAAAAAGATAAACAACTGTGTGTTTTCACTTTAGAGCAGTAACACTGCCGACATAATCCAGTGCCATCTGTTCTTGTCTTCATCATGGATTTTCTGTAATGTAGCTTTCTCTTTAATTCGCCTTTTGTTCAACCTCCTCAATTCTTGAGGACACGACCTTCCCATCTACCACTTCTTCAACGATGGTCTTCACTTTCACGCTTCTACTTGTTTCTGAAAATGAAGATGAATTGAATCGATAAATATTTCGGAACACATTTGCTTGTAATGGAAGACGCAATGCAACTAAAACATGTTGTGTTAGGGTCACATGTTTATTAATTCAAATATTTTATGATGTAAATTGCACATTCAAACTCCTAATCTGTTTTTTTTTTGCCTCCAATAAGTTTATATGCCTATCCTAATCCTGGATCAGATGAGCTATCAGACTCGGCCAATTTCCACTTTCTTCAAAATCAGTCTACCAATGGTGTCTGCTGAGGTCTGTGATAGCCCATTGACAACCACGTATTTATTTAATTAGGAATAACAATATCCGAATGGGAAATGGGACTCAGTGGGAAAGAGAACTTGGCCTTTAATATGTAGCATTGCTGCTTGTCATCCAGCGTAAGGTCAACTCAACTGTCTCCATTAACACTCGAATAATCAAATCTTTGTTTAAGTTTATGGCTCGCTGGTATTATACACACGTGCGACTCCATTCTATGCAACCCTCAAGACCAGATACATGCTGAAGCCAATGTGGTGCAAAAGCAACCACCCTCCATATATGGTGGTCATGCCTCCTACTAGGGCCTTTTTGATCACAGGTCTTTCACTTAATTTCCTCCATTACAAATATTCCTCTTCAACTCGACCCGTTCCGTTCCTATAAGCGGTCTTTAGTACCGCATATGCTCAATGCAGCGACATCCCTCATCCCAAAACACTGGAACTCTACCGTACTTCCCACAAATAAAGAATGGTTTCCTGACCTAGACCATGTAAGATTGATGGAAGACTTGACCCACTCGTTGTATGACCGTTCCACTAAATTTGAGGCAACATGGCGACCATGGCTTTAGTTTAAGGAATCTTCTACTTATCTGCAGCTGGTACAGGTGAAACTCGAATAATTAGAATATCGTGCAAAAGTAATTGCAGTAAGTGCTGCAAAAGGGGCCCAAACCAAGTACTGAGTACATATGCATGCTTGTACTTTTCAGAGGTCCGATATTGTTCTATGTACAATCCTTGTTTTATTGATTGCATGTAATAATCTACTTTTTTGAGGTTGTGGATTTGGGGTTCTTGGGGTTTTCATGAGCTGTAAGCCATAACCATCACAATTATGACAAATCAGGGCTTGAATTATCTTGCTTTGCATGTAATGAGTCTCTCTCATATATTAGTTTCACCTTTTAAGTTGCATTAGTGAAATAAATGAACTTTGCACGATATTCTAATTATTCGAGTTTCACCTGTATATTAACTGTGCCCATAGTGCTTATACTTTGGTTCCCCAACATTTTACGGCTTAAACTATGTCATTTATTGTAGGCCCCAGCGGACTCTGTGTCCTACCTACCTATCTACACTGGGGTTTCTTCATTATTACTCGAATTGTCTCACTTTTTATCCTATCTTACATGATCTCCCTGCTCCATTGCCCCCCCTTATATTCTCCCTTCCTCCAATCCTTGAGAGACTTGGTCATATGCAACTGTGGACAAGGTAATCAATTTTTTTGATTTTATTACTTATTTTGTGCACTCACTATAATTCTCCCTCCAGCAGGCGGCGGTACGTTTCAATCTCCATCTCCAGTCTGGTCTTGATGTCGAGCAGTTCCCGGTATTCCGTGCTCTGGCGTTCCATGTCTGATCTGATCTGCTGGAGCTGCGCCTCTAGCCCACCGATGACTTGCTGGAGCTGCTGGAGCTGAGCACCATAGCGGCCATCTATGTCAGCCAAGGTGTCTTCAAGGGATTTTTTCTAAAATGTTGCATGACAAAATCATTTCATGAACCATGTTGTATCCCCTAGTCGAGGAATACATTTTTTTTTATGAAAGAAAACTCTTAGCTAGTACAATTATTATTGTAGAAGACTAGAAAACATGTATGATTCCTGATATTCACAGGTGCTAAGGCAAATTAGAGCATTGCAATAATGGAATAGTGCAGGGAAGCATGTTGCTTAAAGTAGTAATAAACTCTCAAACTTTTTTTCCAATAATAAATCCCGATCAGATAAATGGACATTGCCAAACAAAGTATTTCTTAAAACTAGGGATGGTCAGATAGATACCAGTGCCGATATTTGGCATTTTCGTGAAAACTACCAGGGTTGCAGAAGTTGCAGCTATGACAGGGCTCTGGTGCTCGGACAAGTACTTGGTCTGAAAAAAATGGTGTCTGTGCATCCCTAATATATATGTATATAAAACAAATCATACAGTAAAACAGAGATGTACAAATCCCAGGAACCCAGTATACCCCAAATACGGTACTTGGTATCTTAACATTCCTACCTAAAATGTCTACCCAAGCATTTACAGTCATCATGTTTCCAAAAAGCTTACTCCAACTTTCTAAGCTCAGCTTCCCTGAACTTCCTGTCCATTACGAGATCACAAGGGAGAGCAAAGTCTCCAGCAGCTATCCATCTACTAGCTTTTGAGAAGGGAAGTGGAGGGGGGGAGTCGGGAACCAAAGGAATGGCTTGTCTTTCTGAGTCTGTGGTTTTGTGGAGACACACACACAGTTTACTATTACACACAAGGGTGGCTCTATTGGACCCTTCAAGGCAAAGGAGCCACCCTAAAACAGGATATCAGGACACCAACTGATTCTGCAGGAAAATAAAACGTTTAAACATCACGGAGCAGCATCTATTGTAGATTACTTAATCAGCATTAGAATAGCTGAAAAAAACATAATCACTTTAATGTGTGTATGAACCCTAACTATGAATGTCTCCTTTTGCAGCCTTTTAGTCTGTTAAAGAAGATCTCCAGGGAAAAATGATCATAACCCATGCAATGGGGCTACCACCACATAGCAAAGGTTAAGTACTTGTTTTCATCTAGAAGCGAAAATAACAAAGTTATACTTCCCGTGCTTTCTGCCTCTCCTGAATTGTTACCAGTTAGCACTGTCCCCAGCTATCTCTGTGGACTACAGAACACCTGCTCCTTTCCTTTTTGTTCCATAGCATAGGGGTGATATTCTGTAGACCTGCCCTAGGGTGACCAAAGGAAGTGGGATGGGTGATGCTTGTCATCAGACTGAGGACATCTAGTGGCAGAAGAAAAGTACTACAGGGGGAGCTTTCTGGATTGAAGTTGAATATTGCAGCAACAACTTGCTTTTTTTTTTTTTTCTTTTAATGGGCTATAAATTTTTTAAATCTTGTATTTTTGTAGCTGGAGTTTAAACCAGAATGTTTTCTAAAATCAAAAATACTTATAAATATGGGTAAAATGTAATTTCACAGTTTAAAGTTGAAATCTAGGCTTAAATACTTGTATACTTGTGCTGGTCCAGCTTGACCCAATGTGAGTATACATAATTTATACCTGGTAGGGCCATGTACATCACCGGCCCTCAGTGAACGGCTAGCATTCATTGATAGAAATACCAGGTGTTCGCAGAATAGCTATTGTGCCCAGTGAATGACCCACTGTGTTTTAATATACAGTGTGTGTTTGTATATATATATATATCTAGATATACACTGAGTGGCCAGTTTATTATGATCACCTGACGTTTGTAGGCAAATTAGCTATAATAGATGGACAAATGTAACTATACATAATTATTTATACCAGTAGTTCAGCTTTAAAATAGTTTTAGATTAGGTTAAAAATAATACTATTTCTTGTTATATAGGCTTACCATTGCCAGCTGAGACTGCAGCTCAATCTCTAAGCCTTGGAGGGTACGTCTGAGGTCAGAGACTTCAGTCTTGCTTGACTGCACCTCTTCCACATTGGCTGAAAGCTCCTTCTTCAATTCACCACTCTGAAATGAAAACATATATTATTGACTTTTTCTGTTTTCATTATTTTAATAAATCCAAAATCTTAATGTGTTTACAAAGCACTAACCTACCGAGAGAAATAGACTGATTTTCTCTTCTGGCAAACAATCCCAGGTTGGGATATCCATGAGTCAGGATGGAACATTTGGTGGCATAATAATCATACCCAGCCTTGGCAATACCCTACCGAGAACAATGGACTAATTTATAGGAGAGACCTGTCTTCTGGCAAACAATCCCAGGTTGGGATATCCATGAGTCAGGATGGAACATTTGGTGGCATAATGATCATACCCAGCCTTGGGTTTGGTCTTTATACGCTTGGTCATTTCTGTTGATAATAAAATCACCTGGACATTTGGCTGGTACATCGATTCATAAATGTAATGAGCAAAGTATATATTTGTCCATGAGTGGATATATGTTTTTATTGTATGTTTTTCTTAACATTCAAGACTCCATCTTACCTTCTTTTGAAACTGAGCTTCAACATCTTTTCGGTTCTTCTGAGCCAGAGCTTCATAGTTTGCTCTCATATCATCCAGGATACTAGTGAGATCCACTCCTGGTGTAGCGTCCATCTGTACCTCAACTTGGCCAGCGGCACTGCTTCTTGAGACTTGCATTTCCTAGGACATTTTGTATAAAATCTCACATTAAAAAAAAAGAATCAATGCAATTAAACATGGTCATCTTTGAGGTTGATGCTAAAGAACGACAATGTGAGGCATGTTTATAAAGAACAAATCAATTTGGAGCTGTAGCCACTAGTGTTCAATCACCCTATGCCTCTAACGTTCCCAATGAAAATAAACATTTTCCATGGGCATAAGAACCACAGCATTGAATCCTTCCTTTTAAAGGTTCTCTGTGGTTTGCATATATTAGTTTTTTGGCAAACATGTGTGGTTCTTACCTCCTCATGGTTCTTTTTGAGGTAGGCCAGCTCTTCAGAAAGGCTCTCAATCTGGAGTTCAAGGTCTCCTCTGGACAATGTCAGTTCGTCCAGGACTTTGCGGAGGGCATTAATGTCGGCTTCCACGTTCTGGCGGAGAGACTGCTCATACTCCCACCTTAGAAGGAATAAAGATAACATTTTTTTTTTAGAAAAGTCCACATCCCAGATTATAATCCTTGAGGATTTTTTAAAGGCTAATTTTAAAAAAATAAATAAATAATTAAATGCAAAAGCCATAATTTGACAGCAAATAGAAATAGCATTTTGGTTTAGAAAAATCCACATCCATGTTTATAATGAATGGATTTTCCCCCATGAATTAAAATAAATAAATAAATGCAAAAATCCATAATTATGCTGCAAATTACATTCTGCCTGACTGAAGAATTATAACCTAAAAGAAATGAACGCTTTTAATGTACAACAACATTTATTGAAACTTTTGATGGAGTCAATTAATTGTACACTTCAGGAGATGTACTGTGTTGACAGAAGGATAGATCAAGGAGATGACCTCATCAGTCTCTTTCTATGCCTTTACTATCCAAATCACAAGCGGGGGTTGGGGAGGTGACCTATCTGTGTTGCTTAACCAACAGAGAAATGTCACCAGGTTGTCTGTGCTGTGTAATAGGGTTGCAGTGTAAATCTCATAACTGGATGGACATAAACACATTCTTTTGCCAGCTCCAGTATAGTTATTTTAATTTGCCTGGAGTTCAGCTTTAATTTAGGTGGTTCCTTCCTTTGCATTATTTGGGCTTCTTGAACACAAACAGCTGGACACAATATGCTTTTTTTTCCCTCCAAACTTTATAACATATGTTGTCACTTAATAATTGCAATAAAAAATACAACCTACTTTTGCCTGAAGTCATCAGAAGCCAGTTTGGTGTTATCAATTTGCAGTAAAATAGTAGAGTTGTCAACAGTGGCAGCCAGGATCTGGAAAAAAGAAAGACATGTATTGTTGGATATTGCATATTGTGATACATGGAGAAAGATAGGAAGGGGTGCAAGGAAAAGGTGTATGGAACAAAGAACCACAAATAAATCTAAAAACTAATTTAAAGTGAAACATACATATATATGTATGTTCCTGTCTTAACTGACAAACTGTCATGTTGCTTAGTATTGCTTCTGACCTGAAGAAGAGAGGTTATATATAGATATATTCCGCACTCTTTAAATCCAAGGGCCTAGAATGATTTCTCAGAGTGAACTCTAGCACAGAACCTTAAGAACTGGGTTTTCAATCAATGAGCTGCCCATTGTGTTTCAAATAATAAGGATAGAGGCTACTGACACCCAACTACATATTGCCTGCCAGGATGTCAAAAGACGCCCTGTTAGCGGAGCGTGCAAGCGGGAAATGACCAAAATGTAAAAACAGGCAGCGATGCCTGTTTACATACAAGGGATCCACCGGCTACAGAGCAGATCAGATCAGAGGGAGATCAATACACGATCTCCCTCCGGTACCCTCTCCGGTGTCAGAATGCGGAAGTGATGTATGTTAAATCACTTCCGCATTCTTGTGTCATTCTCCAGCTTTAGAAGCTGGAGAGAAGCTGATGAAGCAGATCTTTTGTGTCACTGGAAATGTGCGGAGTCACTGGAGATGTGCGAGATCACAGAGGATGTGTGGTGTCACCAGAGAAGTGTGGGGTCACCGGGGATGTGCAGGGTCACAGGAGATTGTTTGGTGTCACTGGAGAAGTGCGGGGTCACCGGAGATGTGCGGGGTCAAGAGAATATGCGGTGTCACCGAGGATGTGAGGGGTCTTAGGAGATTGGTGTCTGGAGATGTGCGAGATCACAGAGGATGTGTGGTGTCACCAGAGAAGTGTGGGGTCACCGGGGATGTGTAGGGTCACTGGAGATTGTTTGATGTCACTGGAGATTTTTGGTGTCACCAGAGATTTTTGGGGTCACCAGAGAAGTGCGGTGTCACCGAGGATGTGCGGGGTCTTAGGAGATTGGTGTCACCGGAGATGGGTGGGGTCACTGGCGATGTACAGGGTCACCAAGAATGTGCAGTGTCACTGGAGATTGTTTAGTGTCACCAGAGATGTGTGGTGTCCACCGGAGATGTGCAGGGTCACCGGAAAAGTGCGGTGTCACCGAGGATGTCCGGTGTCACTGGAGAAGTGTGGGGTCACCAGAGAAGTGCGGTGTCAACGAATATGTGTGGGGTCACCGGAGAAGTATGAGATCACGTCGGATGTGCGGGGTCACCGAAGCTTGTTTGGGGTCACCAGAGATGTGCGGTGTCACCAGAGAAGTGTGGGGTCATCGAGGATGTGCAGTGTCAATGGAGATTGTTTGGTGTCACCGGAGAAGTGCGGGGTCACCGAGGGTGTGTGTTGTTACCGGAGATTGTTTGGTGTCACCGGAGAAGTGTGGTGACACCAAAGAAGTGCGGTGCCACCGAGAAAGTGCGTTGTCACCGGAGATGTGCGTTGTCACCGGAGATTGGTGTCACCGGGGATGTGCAGGGTCACCGGAGATTGTTTGGTGTCACCAGAGATTGTTTAGTGCCACCGGAGAAGTGCAAGGTCACTGGAGATTGTTTGGTGTCACCGGAGAAGTGCAAGGTCACCGGGGATGTGTGCGGTTACCGAAGATTGTTTGGTGTCACCGGAGAAGTGCGGGGTCACCGGACACAACACTGAAAGCGGACCTTCACCCATATCGTTTTTAATTTTTTTAATTCATTTACTTTCAGCAAAATATATATTGCTGAATACTGCACAGTTGTTGTGTAATAAATTAAAATGTTTCATAAATGAAATCATTTTTGGGTCACGCCTTAATGACCAAGGAAACATGTGGGTCCCGAGGTTACACAGGTTGAGAACCACTGTTCTAGATAATTGCCGGCTTTCTAGTCTTTGCATATCTTATTTCTCTTTTCTTCCCCAGTCTTCTGGCAGCAGCCATGTTTACTAAGGGAAGATTACTAGCTCTCCTATCACTTCCTGGATTGCTGGCACATGTGACTAGACATGTGACTAGACATGTGACAACGCACATCATCTCAGGGGATGAAAATGCCTTTCCTTGAAAACTCCTGAGATTACAGATGAGATTTCCCAGCAATGCTCTGCTGATGACAAGGTAATCCCAGTGTGCATTGCTCTGGGAAACTGAAGTCATTTTGCACTTTCAAAGCAGGAAGTGAATGCTGCAAGTGTAAGTATTTCAAAATCACAGCATTGTACACCTGACATGTCATGATTTTTGAGTGTAAAGGTCCGCTTTAAAGGAGAACTATGAGGTGAGGTAAAATCACACATCCTCATAGTTCTAGCCGACATGTGACAATGAAACTGTCACACGTCGGCTCTAAAGATCAGGAAGTGAGCAAACACATACCGGTGCCCGCTCACTTCTCAATCATCTCCCTGCAGATAGCAGTGACTGTTAGTCAACCGCCCTAACTCAGCCCCCCCCAGGCTATGCCTCTAGATAGGCTTGTCACTCACACACAGGGTTGCCACCTGTCCAGGATTCCCCCGGACAGTCCGGGTTTTGGATGCTGTGTCCGGGTTGCATGGCAGCTGAAACACAGCACACAAGATGCCAGGCAGGCAGAGGCAACCAAAATTAAGATAGGGGCTACTTCTCTTTTAACAGGTATCTCCTGGGTATTACTGAATGTTCAGCGCAGCAGTTTTCTTTAATACATCATCATCAAGTTATATAAAGCATGCCGTATATATTACTAAAATGTACCATTTGCATATTTTATTTTTAACAAGTCTGCGATACATTTTAAAACACACAAGTTTAGCTATATGCTTGTAATAGTTCATTTATGGGGTTGTTGAAAGTACATTTAGTAAGAGAGTTATAACCTACCTTGCTCCTCAGGTCATTGATTGTGTCAAAGTATTTGCTGTAATCATTGGCTGCATTGCCAGCTCCAATGCCAACTTGCTTTTCATACCACTGGCTGATCTTAGTTTCCAGCTCGACGTTGGCTGCTTCCAGGGCCCTGACTTTTTCTAGATAGGAAGCCAGGCGGTCATTGAGGTTTTGCATGGTCTGCTCATTTCCAGCAAAGCCCCCATAGCTGCTTGATTCTGCTCCTCCGAAGGCAGCGGAAGAGCCAAAGGAAAAACCACTGCTGGATCCACCACCAAAGCCCCCACTAAAGCCTCCACTAGCATTTCCACCAAAGCTAGCTCCATATCTGCTTTCATTAGAAACCCCACTTGGAATGCTATAGAAAGCCATAGTAGATGTATTTGTGGGCTTGCTTTGACTCAAAGAAGAAGGCAGACTGTGATTCTTGTTTTCTACAGCTCTATATTTATATACACAGGATGCAGTAGGTGTGGCAGTTACAGTGGACTTCCTTCTTGAACATTTTAGCCTGGTCAATGACAATATCTCACCTACTCTGACAGAATGAGTCCATCCTTACAGAAATGATGTAGCCTTTGGGCTGTTTGTTAGAAGCTAGCTAGAAACTGGAAGAAGCAAGTTCCTTTTTCTTAGAATGTTGTTCTGCAGGCCCTCTCTCTCACCCTGCCCCTGTCATCAGTCATGGTATTAAGATTACAATGGGCTCTCTGCTTCAGGCAATTGCAGTCCTTTATAAAGAGGACATCGCTATTAATGTTTTGAAGGCAACTTAGTTTTGAAGGAGTTGGGCAGACATATACCTTTTAAAATGTGAATATATACAGGTGGATGAAAAATGAAGAGAACTTGATAAAAATGTCCCAAGGTCTATGGACATACAGTATACAATCACTTTTGCAACAGCATCATATACAATACATTATTACATTACAGGCAGTCCCCGGGTTACGAACAAGATAGTGACTGTAGGTTTGTTCTTAAATTGAATTTGTATGTAAGTTGAAACAGGTACATTCTTTTTTGTTTTGGTAGGGAAGGGTTTACCCGCTGTAAAGTTTGTTTTGCTATGTCTGCCCCTGTTCAGAATATTTCCCCTCACTTTCTGTCCCTGTGACAATCAGATTTTGAAAATGTTGGGTTGTCGTGGAAACAAGGATTGGTGATAAAGCTTCAGTGGAGACACCTTTTTCCCATTTCCTGGGGGTAGATTTCCTCTCACTTCCTGTTGTCTTAAGGACAGAAAGTGAGATTAAATCTTTGTAATGAGGATATAAAT